TTTTAACCTTTTTCATGACATTACACACCATAGTTCTTGTTCTATCTCAGGCAGTGTGCCTCCTTCAGGCTGTGAGTAGTTGTAAATCTCTTTATGGCCAATTTATATAAGAATTATCTTACTTGGATTCTTAGGAGGCTCCACACAGCTAAGTTGCAATGTGCTATTTTAATTAGTAATAATCGCACCTCTGATAAACTTCATTGGCTACGATACCACCACTGCACAAAGCTGTGATGTTCTACTTTAATTCTAGCAGAGAGACTTAATAGTATTGGGAAATTACATACATTGTAACTATATAGCTATTCAACATGATCATTTTAGTTCATTATTGAACAGAACCACAGCCACTGGTCCTACCCTTCTACACACAGGAAGGGGACGGAGGGAACGGGCGAGGGGCACTTCCACTCTTACACATTTGCTTGACATTGGAGGGAAGGTCACTATTATAAACTCATACTTGGACCCTGTGCTTTCTGACTCCATTAAGTTTAACAGTGTGATTTAATTTGCTCGGCTGGTCTTTACTCTAAAAGGACCTTCTGCTCCTCCTACTCCTTCGCTATAGAAACAGCTGAGACCTGGTTTTAATCCACATAACATACAATTACCAAAAGTACCAATGAACAGCTTATCTGTGAAAAAGATTTATGGTAATACCTCTTTCATGCCCCAAACAGAACGGGCAGACAGATATTGAATGGCGCCATTATAAAGTTCACTTCTCTGGCTGGTATAAAAACTGGGCCTGCAGGAGCAAAATGCCCCTTCCACAGAAGATGGGTCAGAGTTTTCAAGTCAATTTCTTCACTGAACTACTTTTATATTTTTTATACTTTTATTTCTATTCCAGCCTCACTATAATCCTCCAACTGAGAGACTTACTTTCCACTCACCTACTGGCCTCTTGCTTCACATGTACCTTTGACCCTCTCGAGGCTCTCCTAAGTGCACATTCCATTTTGCGCTCAAGGGTCTGTATAGTTGTTTGCTGTTAGTAAAGTCAGCATTCATTCATTTAACCCTAGCCACAAGAACATGCATTGGTGTTTGTCATCATGATTAAATATTGGAAGTTCTCATTTTCATCTAGAAATTTCTGCTTTTGGCTGAGTATGGTGGCGCACGCCTGTAAACCCAGCACTTGGGAAGCTGAAGCAGGAGGAATGCTGCATGTATGATGTCAGCCTGGGATTCAGAGTGAGTTCAGGGCCAGTCTGAACTACATAGTGAAACCCTGTCTCAAAAAGACTAGAAACAAACCATAAAGGAAAGAAATTTCTACTTTTTCTCAAAAACAGAAACGTTCTCAACTAAATAAGCCTAGAGTTTGAGTGAATAAGGTAAACAAAACCATCTTTCAATTATCACTTTAGTTTGATTCTAGTTTAATGTTTTATTTTATTTAAAATGTCAGACCAACCTAATCTATGTAAATTTATATTGATTTTTCAAATTTGAGCAAAGAATCCCAAATTTTTAAAGCAGTATTTCTTTCTGGAGTTGGAAATCAAGAAATTATTTGCTTTCAAAAGGCTCCAGTAAAATTCACACCTGAGAGAATTAAGATGCGCTGCAGCCATTTCCACTGTATTTTCGTTTGATTACTTTGTGGGTTCTGTGAGCTTGTCCATTTCTCCTTTTTCTGCGCAGCAGTGGGGCCGGCCGTTAATCCGGGGGTGGTGTACATGCGGATCCCTGCAGGTGGCGCTGCGATTCTGCAAGAGTAAAGACGGAACCGACAACAGGTTTCCCTTCAGGTTTACTCAGATATGGATCTGGGACTCCTTCAGAAAATGGAAACAGTAACGAAAAAGTAGGTAAGTCTAAGCAAAAATGACTTGTACAGTTCAAGAAAAAAACCCCAAATCATATCAAATAAACCTGAAAGTAAATATAGGGCTACATGGCACAGTTTAAGCATCAATACCAAATCTTCCTCAACCTCTAATACTCTCATCACACCTTCCTGTAGCCCTTGACAACTTCAATTCACACTCAGTGGAAAGTGACAGCGGAGTGAGGGCGACGACAATGGCTTCCTCAAATGAGTTATCAAAAGCACCACAATGTGTTCAGAGTGATCTAAAAACTTAGGCCTACCTGCAAAAACAAGCCACTAAGCAGGTCCTTTAATGAAATTATCATATTTGCTAAATAAGAGAAATACTTCCTCACGTTAAAATTTTAGAAGTTTGTAATTCTTGAGACTGATGGAGTGAAGGGGAGCAATAAGAACAAGATTTCTAACTGAACAAAAGGCTCAGTTAGGGCTTCACCGTTTGTGAGTAGAGCAGCTGGAGACAAACATCCTTGAACATTTCTGCAGACCTGATGCAGGAGGGACGGGGAACTTGCAGCTTGCTGTGGCTGCTCAGTCTTCGCCTTGTTGATCTTTGGAGAGATGATCCTTCCCTGTGGCAGACCGCCCTGCACATCATAGATCAGGACACTCAGCAATGTCGCTGGCCTCCACACAACAGCTGCCAGTAGCATTTCACCTCACCTCCGGCTTGGGACAAGCAAAATTTCTCCAGGCATTGCCCAGTGTTCCTTGGAGAGAAGTGTTGCCCCCACCATTTCATTACTGTGATCACGTATCCGTTATACACAAAAGAAGAACTGATTTTGAAGAGTTCCCTGGTTTTAAGCTATTCACAAAAATATTAACAGCTTGTTTCTTAAGGAATTCATGCTTCAGAGGATCTAGAAATGTTGTGCCTTTATCGGTATAAGCATACTAACTCATCTGTATTACTTGAGTATGCTCAGACAGGTATACTCTCTCCACCAAGTTTAAACGAATGATGTTTCTCTGAATCAAGTAACTACCTTTTGAAATTTTATCAATTAAGTAGTTAATGAAGTTCCTGCTCTATGAAAACAACCATGACTATGTGTATTCTGAAGGCTGTCTCAGAACTTTTTTATAACATAGCCTTCAAATTATAGTGAATGAAATGGCTCTTTCTTTTTAAACATTTTACTTAGAGTACCATTGATTTTACTCACTCCATCCTTCAGTTTGAGGGTGGTACATACTCTGTTGACGTATGATAAAAATACACTATAAATGGAGTTTACATATTCAAAAAGAACTAAAAATGTGATATAAAAATTCATATCTGATGCCTAGCGCATCTTAATAACCTTAAATTCTGTCGATTTAGCGGTATAGGAACTGAGGCTTATGAAAATTAGGTGCTATCTCAAAATAACATGATGAAGACAAGTACCAGGTCTACATCCCAGGTGTCCACAAAGCTCTTCCATGGCCTTCCCACCACTTTGCATCACATTCATGTGGGAAGCACGGTATTTCAGCTCTGGGTCTACAGTGAATACATTTCTATGTTTTCAGTTTAATAATACTAATGCAGAGGATGTTGGCTTCCCTGTCTATGTTACCAAAATAATATTTAAATCTTTATTACTTGTAATTTTGTATATATTGTCTAGTCTCTCCCAATTCCTAGTCCTCCCTACCTTGGCAAATAGCATTCTACTTTCTACATTCATAACATCATTTTTTAAAAATTTCATAAGTGAGCGAGATGTAACATTTTTTCAATCCATGCTAGGTTAATTGCACTTTATGTAATGTACTCCAGACTCTCATCCATTTTGCTGCATTATATAATGTATTAAAATGCAATATTATACCATATATGTGATATATATAATTATTCATATATATAATGAATATATATTATGTACAGTCATGTACTATATTATATATGGCATGTGTGTATATATATATGTGTGTGTGTGTGTGTGTGTGTATAAAATTATTCCCTGTCATTTAGAAAACAAAAGAACCTTAAAACCCTTAAACCCTTATTTGTTACTTCTGGACAATCAGACTTCTTTTTTTTTGTTTTGTTTTTTGTTTTTTGCTTTTTGCTTTTTTTTCTGGTACCGGGAATTGAACTCATGACCTTGTGCTTGCCAGGTAGGTGCTGTACCACTGGGCTAAATCCCCAGTCCCATGGACAATCAGACTTCTTAATCAGATAAAACTAGTGGCAAGCAACTCTTGAATATATGTTCATGAGATAGCACTTGATAATTCTGTACAACTGTTCTTTTCACTTGAGTGTGACAGTATGGCTGAAATCTGGATGATTTTCCTAGCAAAACAAAAAATTGTTTCATATTTTTTGCTACTAGTGATCACTACTAATAAACTGCTGACTAGCAGCACAAACAGGAACAGTGCGATATATTTCTTCAAGCCTGACCACAGTGCTTTCCAGGATGTGTTTTGTGTTGGCTGTTGTTTGTTCAAATTTATCTTCTGCTACACAATAATTTAATTCCTCTAATACCTTTTTTCCCCTCAATTGAAGTATTAGATAATGTTTATTCACATGACTTTGTATTCAATTATAGGAAATACAAGTGCCAGGGTTAGCTAATAGTATTTCATTACAACTAGGATCACCAGGTATTGAAAAATAGGAATGAATTAATTTTAGATGGTCATTGTAATAAAAACAACAAAAGTATTCTTATAGAAGACCTGCACACCTTGGAAAGTATTCTCAAGCCTCAGTTAGAGATGAACTATTCTAATAGTAATTCCTCTGCATTTATAAGTGATATAAGTAAATCTGACCATAAAGATCATCTCTTAAGGTATCCTAACCAACTAAAGTAATGGCATTTTCATTCTCTTCCAACAACTCTAACTGAAGGAATTTTGACTTTATATAAAATTCATAGGAACTCAACTTTAAATGTTATGTTTTCATCCCCTAATCGGTTTAATTCACTACAGAAAAAATGAACACGGAAAACAAGCTGTATATTATTTTGAAATGGGCAGGAAACATTGGAAAAGATTTTTAAAAGATGTGATGACTGTATAGAAAACTCTTACATGTCATTTTCAATTTTAATATTAATTTTTTCTTTCAATTAGAAAATTTTTCAGTCAGTCAAAACATTTTTTTCAATATAGGGGTAAATTATGTGTTATATGAGTCATGTATTTGATATTAATGCCACTGGATCTGGAAAATGAATCTGGAGATTAACACTTCATTGAATAGGACCTGAAAAAGTGCTACATCACACTCATCTTTCTAGAAATAGAAGCTTGAGTCATTCATTTTGGGAAAAAAATCCTAAATCCTTCTTTAGTTGAACAAATGAAAAGCAATTGCGCATCAATACTCTCGGAGAAAACTGTGAAGTGACGTAAGAAGAAACGAGCTGTTTGTAAATTATTACATAGGGTAGGAATCAGAGATGTCATCTGAAGACGGCTTTCTCATTTGTTACGGTGAGCAGTTACATAGGGTAGGAATCAGAGATGTCATCTGAAGACGGCTTTCTCATTTGTTACGGTGAGCAGTTGTTTTTTGACCTTGTAATCTCATCTTGTTCTCCCAGATTGGTGGCGACTGTGCTTTGCCCATGTGAAGAAAAAAAAAATTTTTCTGAAATATTTCCCTAGAAGAGAAATGAAAAAGAAAGCACTATGTAAGTGCAGTGTCCCAGAAAATAACAGTGAATGGACATTTATGGATCTCTTCTGTTCTATTGCAATGTGAAGCTGAAAATTGGATTTTTAGACATATAGAAGATTTCTTCAATATGTGACCTAAGGAACAAAACTGTGGACTGTGAGCAGTGAAGGTGCTCTATATTCCTAGCATGGCAAAATCAAAAGATAGCTGGAAAAAAATCAAAGCATCTCTTTGAATTCTTGCTTTTGGAGTTACTACCTGAGATAGTGAGTAATGTAAATTTGCCAAAGCCCAATTTCTATTTATTTACATAAGACAGGAAGCATAATGACTTCCTAACAGATCTGTTGATAAACAAATGAACAAAAAGGTTAAAAATTTAGGACATGCTAGAGGACTTATGTACATACTGACCATGTAACCTACCTGTGTCCAGCACCAACTAGTTCATTCATTCATTCTCTTTTTTTTCATCAGTCCATTGGTGGCATCATCTGTCTTTTACCAATAGAAGCTTAGGGTCCATTTTTAAAGTTTCATTATGAGAAACTCCGAAGTCACTGTCAGAGTTTCCCGCTCTCATGGTCTTGGCAGTTGTGCACCGAGCTCTTCTGATAGAAATCAAAGACTCTTGATAGAAAGAATTCAGGTGGTTTTCCTGAGGGAGCCAAACACAGAGGCTGGTGTGAGATGAGATACCTGATGGATAACTGGCTCTTTTCACTATTTTGTTGATGAACACAGATATCTACAGGCCATTTGAGAACTGAAACATCCTCATAACCTGGTTTTTCCTTGACCAGGTCATGTGGACACTGTCAGTTCAATCATTATCTGGAGACAAACAGTGATTCTGTTAGTGATAGTGAAAGTCATTCTATGTAATAACTCTCCTTTCTCTTACCTTCCTCAACCATGAAAATTTTGAAAGGTAAGTTCAAGTAAATTTATTTATTTTTGTTTATATTTTCTTAATTATTTTTTATCATACTATAGTATTGTTATCATTTTTTATCTGAATGTTTTGAGTTGTGGAATGAATCATCTAAATTTCCACTATTTCTTATGGGGAAATTTACTTTCATATAAAAGTGCTTTGGATTACAAGTGTGCTTCCAAAATGAACTATACTTGCAAATCAAGGTTTTACTGTATATATATATTTTACTAACTTACACGTATGAAATGTACTAGTTCTAGTACTCTCTAGGGCACATGATGTATCATAGTCAATTTACCCTACAAATCTATGAGCCTAATATTACTTATTTTGCATGGGCCAAATTAACCTAAGTATTCTGAAGGGTTTGTTTTTTTTTTTCCCCCACAGTTTTCATAGTTAGTACACTTTGACTCTATTTTCTGTTCTATTTGAAAGTATCTTGTAAACATTTTCTTGTGTTATTAAAATGTTCCAAAAACACAGGTTATGTGGGCATTATAAAGCCTGTCAGTTAGAAATACAGTGTTTTAGTCAGTAATTTCTTTGTGGTTGGATATTTTACCTGTTGAAACTTTTGTAATACAAATAAAATTTGTATGAATTTCTTATAAAATAAAATTTTGCCCACACTTAACTGCATAGAAGAATTCCTGCGAGTAGTATTATCAGTCAAGACCAAGGATCATTTCTGAGCCTTTGATTGCTTTCAGGAGTTACACTGAATTTTCAGCAGTGTTGAGGACTATTTGATCACACCACAATGAGTATGAATCGCCATTAAAAAGGAACATGAGAGCAAAATACCGACATCATCATTATAAAACTTAAAATGTTCATTTTTTCTTCTTTAAAGATGTATATTTTTTCTGTTTTTCAATGTTTTGTTTGCCATAAATATATATGTATATACATATTATATGTACTGCAAATAACATGTTAACATGACAGTGACTTTTCTGTCAGCTTTAAGACAAATGTTTTCAAATTTAATTTACCTTTCTTTGTTCCAAATTTACAGTAGCAATTTAATTAATTTTAAAGCAAAGATACATCAGTTAATTACAGAAATTATGTATGTTTTAATGCAACTGAGGCTATAATTTTCATAATCTTACATATTTCATATTTATTAGACTGCATATAATCTCAAATTCAATAATTCATATTTAAATAGGCCTTCGCTAACTTTATACTTAAAATGTGATATCTTTGTGAAAATTGATATCTTTGTAAAAACTCATTATTAAATTAGAGAAATAGACTTGAAGAACCAACTGCCCAAGACTCCATCTCAGTGAAGGAAAAAAGAAAGAGATCATTTTTTGATAAAGCAATCAGCATTTAAATATATGTACTAGGATCCCATGTCTGTTTTAGCTTAAAGAAAGAATTTTTAGCTGGAAAAATCTGACAAGATCTGGAGATAAAAACCAAAAACTATCTGGTTCCTGTCTCCCTTTTATAGAGTGTGGTTTTTTCATGTCACTAAGGAATGTTTTATCCCAATTTAAGGCAGACAGAAAATTGATTAATGCTGACATCGCTTTTTCGTGTCTCTGTACTGTATTTACCTGAAATATAAACCAGAATTTCAATAAAGGCATTTGTCAGATAAGAACAAAAAATTAAATCTGCCTGAAAGTTCTGAATAAAATGTAAGTAGTCTGTCTCGTTATACTTTTTTCTGACAGGAAAAAAATATATATAGCCAGGGAATATCACACTTTTAAAAAATGTATGAAGTGACTAATAGCTTAGAAAGAACAAAATTAACACCGCCTCAAATTTTCTTTTGTGACTTAATTTCTTATATTGAATTAGAGAACTGTTGTTCCTCTTTTAGGAAGAGCTTTTTGTTTCTTTTTCTGATTCCCAATGTTGGATATTTAGCACAGATGCGACTCTATAAACTTCTCCCTCTCCCACCTTGCTGAGTGGCTAAGATCTTAATCGTCTCCTTCTGGGAAGCCGTTTACACCCACGCCGATGACGCTCAGTCTGGACTGTGTGCGCTGCTACTGACCAAGTTTTCCTCAAGTCTGTGTTGTACATAAGACCTTCTTGTATGGACATTGTTTCGAAACTAAAATTCCCCCGCATGTGTTCTGGTGCACTTTTACCTTATCTGAAGTTTTAGTTAAAAGCTTTTGGTTTGCTCTGAAGCAAAGCAAAACCAAACCAAAATAAAGCATAAACCTAAAAAACAAACAAACAAAACCTCCCTGCTTATCCTTCAGGAGACTCCATTCAAACAAGACAGTCATAATGGAGCATCTCTGATCGACAATAGCTTATAGTCATTTCCAGTATTGATCAAGAAACCCCGTGGAGCAAGTGGGTAAATCTGCAAAATCAAAATGCGGCTGTTAAGCGGCATTGTTTTCCTGTGGTGAGAGGTCTTCTGCCAATAGTCCTTTACAAATGGTCTCTGTGTGTTTGGTTACGGGTTTAGAGGATGGGTCCTGATCGTCCAGAACACTATGATTATAACCTGAGGAATATCTACCCCAAAGAGATAAAACTTATGACGTTTGTAATACATTCAATAAAAAACTGCAGAAGCACATTTTAGGAAATGTTTTCACTAATATGAATAACTGAGTCAATTTTCTGTATTCCAAGGAAAATAGGTGAATATAATGACAAGGAAGCCAGTAGTTTTTACAATCTGGGTCTCATTTTTAAACATTTTATAAGTCAGTTATGAGACAAGTTGTGAATTTTATTGGTTCTTTGCAGTTAGATAAAGAATGATATGAGAACTGCATGTTTTAGTTGACAGTTGATAACAAACACATGTTGTGTGAATGCATCTGAGAAAAAGGTATCTTACGAAGTTCTCTGAATAACAGTAAAACCAAAATGTAACTTACCAGCAGTCTTATTCACTTTAAGCTTTTCAATTTCCCTTTCTTTATATTTCATCTTTATTCTATCATTCTCTATTTCTCCTTATCATCCTCAACTTGATATTTCTCAAGGGAATATCATTTTCTTTTCTTCCTTTGGCACTTAAAAATTCATTTAGTATAGAGTTATTAAGTGTCTGTTATGTGCAAGATAGAGAATCTCATAGTAGTTACAGAATGGTTATCAAACCCTCTCCATTCTAAAGGAACTGTCTGTAATTAGGGAATGTCATATATAACAACTGGTGTTTCCTTTTGCCTATAGACAAAAGGGTGAGCTCTGGCAGGCTCTTTTATTCCTCTAAAATGAGTTCTAGGACAGTCAAGCATATTGGTGTTTTCAAAGTCAACCTCATCACTGCAAAATTCTAGTGCAGTCTGTTTACTCTGCATGATTAGCAAGTGGCATCTTGCTTAAATATCAAAAGTACAATACAATATGAATTGTATTTCCTGATGTATGTAAAAAAATCGCCAGGTATATAAAAAGTATGTACAGAAACTATTCAAACAGCAATCAGAAAAAATGCAAATACTTTGGAAAGACCAAAGATGGTTTGATGTTGATAAAAACAAGACAGTAGGGAATTTCTCAAACTAAGGAAAGCCAGGAGCCTCAAATGAGCACCAGTCTGGGCCACACTTTTTTTTTTTTTTTCATTTTTCCATCTTTAAGTTCATCTCCTCACATCAGGAACGTAGCAGTTCTAGCACTACTGCCCCCACACATACCGGGTTAAGAGAAAGGAGAACTGGAACCTGGCCATGGAAGAGATTCTCTGTCAGTGAGTGTCCGCATGTTACTGTGACAGCGAGACACAGTGTCAACCGTTGTTTTCACAAATTCCACAGAAGTGGCCCTGATCTTGCCTGATTTTTGGCATCAGCGTCTACTCACCTTGGCCCAGCCTAGCCTGTAGTGGGTAACCATGCCTGTGCCACAGCTCCTTTTCCTGATATTCAGTTCCTGCAAATTTATCAGCCCACTCACTGCCTTGGAGAGAATACTTTGGAATGCCCAAGAGCTTTTCCCGCGCTGAGTCTGGTGCGTACATGTACAGAACTCCACCCGCTGTAGTGTTTCTAGCATTCCACTTCTTTCAGTATAAGGGACTTCTCCATGTGACTTTCAGTTCCCCAAAGGAGGTAGACCTTGTTCCTCTCAGGGACTGACTTTCTATTCCCTCCATCCTCACCCTTCCTTCAGCATTCATATTCTTTTCCTTGTTGTCAATTGAAACTGTTGGCTGTCAGTATGAATCTTTCACTAATCTCTGACACATGGTACAGAGTCTGTACCCTGAATCTCATAATTGTGCTCTTGGTATACAAAGGCTGATTCTCTCTAATATCCAAACAAATATAAAAACTGCCTACTATACATCGCAAACACACTAACTTTCAAACCGATGTCTGCATACAGACTTATAAAACCTGTTCAGGGGCTCAGAATTAAGGTTTTTGTTCAAGACCATCAGACTTAGAAAGTAGGAGATGCAGCCCCAGTTATGGGAGAAGGGAAAGATAACATAAAAAGCTGGAAGAGAGTAAGCTCTTAAGAAATGGCAATACTATGGTATTAGTATTTGTTACTAAGTTTGGAATCAGGCAGAGGAGGTTACATCTCTGCTTAAGTCAAAAGGCACAAAAGAGAAACTGAGTGGAAGATCCCTGGGATATTTTATTGTGGGCATAATGCTGGCATCGTCCCTAAGATCCCCTAGCCCTGCTGTATACACTGAATGCATGAGAGATTTCACTTCTATAATTAGTTAGGTTATGAAATCTGGCACAGTCTATGACTCA